AGATGATCTCTAAATTCAGGTGGGATATATTCAAGGTCATATTTTGGCTCTTGTGGACTTGCTTTCATTTTCTTCAGCTTCAGTTTGAATTTGCAAATGATCAATTGATGGTCTATTCCATAATCTGCCCCTGGCCTTGGTTTGGCTGATGATATGGAGCTTTTCCACGGTCTGTTTCCACAGATGTAGTCAATTTGATTTCTGTGTATTCCATCTGGTGAGGTCCATGTGTGTAATCATCTCTTATGCTGTCTAAAGTAGGTATTTGAAGTGAATAAATCAATATTTGTTCATTTAATTCATTAAATGAGGTAATTACAGTACAGATTACATAGGGTTGTTGTACAGAATGAAAGACTTTATATATGTGGTGCTGGTGGTGTGCCTGCATAGGGTTCCAGAGGCTGTAAATCTTTACGGGAGCAGAAAACCTCATCTTTCTCCTATGGAACGGTTGGTAGTTTTGAACTGCTGACCTTGAGGTTACCAGCCTGTCTCGTAACTACTATGCTATAGTTCCTGTTACATGGTTTGAATTATCCATTATCTAGTCCTTTGAGTTTTAATCAGTGTTCAAGTAATTTTATTCATCTTAATGGCCCAATATTTTTCTATAAATGATAAAGGTTGATGATATAGAAAGAAATATAGGAGTCCACTTAAAAACTGAGTAAATCTGTTTATAGTAGCTTTCTCCTGTGAACAAAGACGTAGTTATTTGATACAATGGTATTTTGTACAATACTCAGCAATAATGACTGGTTTTCAGTAAATATATGTTAAAAAAGTGAAGGAAGGAATAGATGAATGATGGTAATAATTATGAGGTATTTGCCAAGAACTTCACAAATATCCCATTTAAACCTGATAGCAAACATATGTACTTATTAGTGTTATATGCATTTTGCAGAGGTACAAATTGATGTTTTGAGAGTTGGATAACTTGCCCAAAGCTTCAGTCCATAGGATCCAGAATAGGAAACTGACTTTAGGGGCAAGCTCTTAGTCAATATACTTAACTAACTGATCCTTCTTATTGAATGGTCTGAGAGTAATACTTCACAAAAAGGATCTAAGTAGCTTGCTTTTCAGTTTTTGCTGTTGATGTATCTTTTCCCCCTGCTTATAATATACACTTTGTTAACTCATTTGACTTTTCTCATCCTCCTCCCCCCATACACCATCATTATATTTTGTGATGTTGCTGGAGACTGTTGAAGAATGCAGATCTGTTTTCTCTGCTTCAAAATAACACCAAATAATAGGCTTTTATAGTACCTTTGCTTGCTTGCTATAATTCCTCCCCCTCTTTTGCTATTTATTCTCACTTTGAGCTATTATGGAAATATACTTAATATTTCCATGTAATTTTGATAGTTTTTGGGTGTAGCTTGGGTACAGATAAACATAAAACTACAAGCAAACAAACCTACCCATCGACCTGTTGCTAGTGAATTGATTTTGAGTTCTAGTTACTCTATAGGACAGGGTAGAACTGCCTCCATAGAGTTTCCTATGTCTGAGGCCGAAACGCATGAACTGTCCACTACACTGCAATTCCTAGACGTCTAGGGGAATCATGGCATTTCAGAAGATGGAATGTGAGTTTTCAGAGATACATTTAAAGAGCAGTAGATAAACAGGGCGTCATAAGCATGCCAAGTATTAAAGGGCACAGATGGAATAGTAACTGTTATCCTTGAGTACAGATGTTTTTTACTCTCCCTTACTTTTTAAACCAAGTCAACTCTTTCATTTAGCAAGTTTATTTATAGGTTAGTAATTTTATTCTGAATAATTGAGATCTGCCCTCTTCTTAAAAGAAAGCATCTTCCTGATTACCTTAGCATCTTTATTTCATAGAACTTTAAATATCTTTGAAAATAGCATACTGGAGTATTAATGACCAACTCCAGGAATCATTCTCTCAACTAAACTAGCCGATAACATCACTTTAATGGAAACACTTATAATTTTTAATGATCTCTATCACTTTGCAATTGATCTCTATTCTTTAGGATGAATTCAACATTGATAATTAGAAAACAGATTATATTCTGGCTATATCTGATGGAAACATCGATACAGAGGACAAAGTCCGAACACTTCTGAACTTTGAAGCTTTAAGGACAGGGTTTAGAGAAGAATCTTAGTTAGAATGTGGTTATCCTCTTATTTGCCAAGAAAGGGTTGAAAGGGGATTGAGGATTTACCCCGTGGGAAGAATTCAGGCAGGAAGCCTGGGCACAAGGCTCTGCTCTCTGTATTTGATGTCTACTCTCTATCGCCACTTCCTAGCTTTCTGCAGCAAGACCATTTCAGATTTGTTTAAAGACAGAAATCATAATTATACACAATTCACATTCCACTTCTGCCGGGGTGAGTGTGGCTTTCTGATATACATTGATTTACCCTCTCTGAAGTTTTATAGCATTTGTAATCGAGTCCACATGACATTACACTTAATTGTACAAAATATTGAATTTGATAACCTTCATAGTTGGAGTCCTGGCATGGCACTGTGGGTTAATGCCCTGGACAGCAAAGTTGGGTTGAGCCTCAAGGTTGGTTCAAGTTCACCAGCTACTCCTTGGAAACCCTATATGGGGTCTCTGTGGCTCAGAATTGGCTTGACAGCACTTAGCAACAACAACAAATAGTTGGTTAAACATTTTTATTTTAAGAGAGAGTCAGTACATTTTTTTAAAAATGTTTGGTGCAAGATACTTGAACACCAACAATTTAAACTACATGTCACAGAGGACATTAAAGTTTTCTTCTATGATAAATGTGTCTGTATTGATCCATGAAGCATGCTATATTAATTTTATATTCATATTATGATGGAGTGATTTATTATAAAATGTATTATCTAGTGGTTCTAATATTGCTATAACACAGTTAACCAGAAGTGGGTGACTTTAAAGAATTGAAACTTATTTTTTCATGGTTCTGGAGGCTAAAAGTTCACATCAAGCTATGGCTGTGCTGATTCTTTCTCTGTTGGTAGCCCCAAGTGTTTCTTGGAGCTCCTCATCTATCATCTGCCTTCCCAGCATGTGCGCATCTCTGTGTCTAACCTGCTCCTTTCATAAATCAGAAGTGATTAGATTTAATACAAACCTTACATTGGTCTGGGGAGTGTGGTGGTACTGTAGGATAAACATTGGACTGCTAACCACAAGGTCAGTGGTTCTTATCCACCAGACGCTCTGTGGGAAAAAACATGAGGTTTCTGCTTCCACAAACATTTGCAGCCTTGGAAGTTCTGTGAGTTGGAACTGACTCGATGGTACTTAACAACAATAACATTAGCCTAGCCTCACTCATAGCATTATGGAAAGAGATTACATTAGATTATATTACAGCCATACACATAGGAGTGAGAATTTTAACATATATTTTGGAGGGACACAATTTAACCCATAGCGTATAGAGGTATAAGGACTGAACTAAGACATTCAGGTGCTCAAATATATGTATTGAATTGAATTAAATTCTAATCAGGTTACTGATAATCATATATGTTCCAATATTAGCATAATTATGAGTAGGTTTCTCATTTGTACCACAGAAAGAATATCTTCATCTTCTTAGTTTATCAAGTCCTTTGCAGGTAAAGATCAAAGCATTTTTTCTGGAGAATTTTATCACCACAAAAGTCTACTTTGCTCATTTGTTTTCACTCATAATGTAAAAGTCATAAATGGTATTCACATTTTCCAATTTTTCAGGTGGAGCGGATTCCTTCTTTGTGCCATTGCAATGTTTCTTGTGATATTCCCAATGTTTGCTTTTCCAAAAAAGCTTCCACCTCGGCAAAGGAAAAAGAAAAAGAAAAAATATTCCGTTGATGTGGCTAGTGATGATGATGATGTTCTGAAAGAGAAGTCAAACAATAGCGAACAGTTGGACAAAAAAGTGTCCTCTATAGGATTTGGAAAGAATGTCAGAGGTAACGTATATCTTTTAAATAAATATGGTGCCTAGTTCTTGAGATCAGTGCTACTCAAAACATGGTTCTAACTGTGGTCAATGGCAATATAAGTACCAAAATGGAGAGTAAGGGATGAGAAACGTTTGCAGGTATTTGGCAAAGTAATTTCATGTCTGTTGAATCTAATAATAGTAACAATAAAGTTGGCATATATTTACTATGTTCTTTATAAAAGTCATTTTCTAAGATGCTGTCTTTAATGCATTTTACGTAAGTCTCAGTACCTGATAGAACTGAAACAACAACAACAACAAATCCTCCTTAATCACAAATAGTTTGAGAAGCACTGATTTAACTCATAAAGATAAAGATGTTTATGCATATCAGTTTTTGGAATGAGAGATGTCTGATTTTTAAAATATTTATAGTTTTGTATAATGGGTAGTTTCTGTGAGTGGATTCGATAGTTCTATCTGATGCTTACATAAGTGTAAAACCTTCTGCTAACAAGGAAGGCTTGTTCAACAGTGCCTCTATAGAATGTTTGTGAGTGGCCAAGAGAGAAAGGTAGCCAAATATGGGTGTCCTAAAATCAAAGTAAACCTCTAGTGATTGTCCACTTTTTTCATTTCTATTTCTCTTAAATGTAATCATTTTATTTAAACTAGACCAGGAAATATCAAACCTAAAGAATTTAAATGATTCTTAATCAAGCACTCTTTGTACAGAGTCCAGTCTAACATCTGAGTGGTAATAAATAAGTCCCTTTTATCCAAGAAATCTACAGTGCTTCACTTCCATCAGTTTTAGCTATATTTCTTAAATTCCCTGAATTGATATTTTATGTAAATTATGAAGTATAATATATTTTAAGTGCTTATATCAGTCAGGGTTGTTTTAAATTAAAATAGTAAGGCCTAGAACTAGGTTACTAGTATATTGTAAACCAGTCCCTGCAGCCTAAAAACAATAATGATCAGATTAGACCAGTCTTGAAAATTTTATTCATTCAAAGCAAGTGCATGCCATTTCATTGAAAATGCTTCTTCATACTTAGTTTTAGGTTTGGCTTCTGCATGGCCCCAATTATTTTTGATCATCTGTACTTTGGGAACTACCAAGATGACTTCTAATCCTCTAATTACTCAGACTTCTGTGTAACATTGTGACCTGAGCTCCTACAATAGAGGCCAGCCCATTCATTGTTTTTTTCCTTAAAAAAATCTATTATTGTAAAAATTATTTATTTATGTATGTATGCATGTATATTGCATATTATTTGCCATTTAAGCCATTTTTAAGTATACAATTCAGTGGCAATAATTACATTCACCATATTATACAGTCTTTAACACTATTTATAGCCAAAATTTTTTCATCATTCCAAACAAAAACTTGGTACTTCTTAAGCAGTAACTCCCAGGGTTGACTCCCTTCAGCCCTGGTAATCTCTGATCTACTTTCTTTGTAGAACTTAGTGGCCCATCATCATTCATGGGTGGTATTATGGACCATTATGACTATCAAAAAGAAGCTCTGGTAGCGTAGTGGTTACGAATCGGGCTGCGAACCTTAAGGTCAGCGGTTCGAAACTACCAGCCGCTCCGCGGGAGAAAGATGAGGCTTTCTACTCCCGTAAGGATTTACACCCTCGGAAACCCTGTACAGGGTCGCTATGGGTCGGAACCGACTCGACGGCACTTAACAACAACAACATGACTATCAAAGGAGAGATTGTTTTTACAATTCAATTGAGAACAAGGTTCATGTGAATGATTTTAAAGCCCAGGAATAGACATAAAGTCTTAATTTTTTTCAGAATATAAAGTCCACACAAGAGGAGAGATAAAGAAAGACATTGTTGTGTTGTTAAGTGCCGTGGAGTTGGTTGCAACTCATAGCAATCCTGTGTAGGGTTTCTGAGGAGTGGCTGGTGAATTTGAACTGCCAAACTTGCAATTCAAACCAACCTTGAGGTCAAGTGCTTATCCTATAGCACCACACCAAGACTCTAAAGAAAGACATAGATAAAATAAAATTGTATATTTTATAGTCTGGAGAAGATGACATTAATGTAGCTATATAATCCATTGTGGAGGAGAGAAAAGGGGAAGAAGTTTGACATCAAATACCAACTGCACAGACAAGTGCTGATAGGAAAAAACTTTTCTTTTTGGTTTGTTTTTGAAGGAGTCTGTATTGTCTGTCCATGCTTTCAATGCCTCACCCATATTCTAGGGCCTTTCTGCTTCCATGTTGGAGGCCTCCAAACTGCTACCATTTCATCTTTTGCATGACCACTTTCTCCAAAGCCTTGGTAAACTATTTGGTTCCTGCTGGAGGCAGGCTTCAAGTGCCAAGGGATAATCACCCTTGGTGTCCTGTCCTTAGGTCCCTGGGTGGAGCAAATGGTCTGCACTTAAGCACTAACCCAAAGTGACACCACTGAAGAAAACCTGGTGATGTGCTTCTATAAGTATTATAACCAAGAAAACCCTTCGGTGCAGTTCTACTCTGTATGTAAAATATGGAATTGCCCTGAGTTGGAAACTGGACAGCAATGGATTATTTGTTTCTTTTTGGCCTCCTCTCTAGAGTGCCTGGATAGATCAAATGGTTTATGTGCTTGGCTGCTAATTTGCTAATTGAAAAGTTAGTGGTTCAAGTCCATCTAGAGGCACCTCAGAAGAAAGCCTGACAAGCTGTTTCTGAAAGCTCAATCTTTGAAAATTCTCTGGAGCAATTTTACCCTGATGCACATGTTGTTGTTGTTAAGTGCCATCAAGTCGGTTCTGACCCATAGCGACCCTGGATAGAGTTTCCAAGGAGCAGCTGGTGAGCTTGAACCACCAACCTTACGGTTCAAACAGCTTTGCAGTCTGGTGCATTAACCCACAGATGCACATGGGTCACAACAAATCAGAGTTGACTCCATAGTAACCAGTTTGGCCTCCTTTCTACCCCAGCAGTCATAAGCAGTGACTGCTAACCAGCAGAGGCCCCTTTCCTCTCAGGTCCTTTGGAGGTTGCTCTCTTTCCCCATGCATCAGGTTCATACTTCCCACACACTCTTCCTGCTTTTCCCAAATGAACTATGTGAACTTGAATCCTTATCTCAAGGTCAGCTTGGGGAGGACCCCGTATTTAGACATGCACATTCAAAACTGATAAATGGTGTCACAGACTTTACAAATACTTATCAAAATTTTATATATATATATAAAGGTAGATCGATAGATATACTATTTTATTAGATACCTTACTACTAAGGGGTTCTCTTCTGTGTTCACTGTGATGGTTCAAGAAATTATAAAAGAAGAAAAAAGAGTCTTTTCAATAGTGATGGGTAGTTGATTTATACAGTCTGTTTCTAGTCTGATTTTATTTTCAGTATTTCTGATAGGCTCTCAGCCTTTATACCCTAAGCCTTAATTATGGTGACTAATCTTAGCCCAGCAGTCCTGATCAGGACCCAGAACTGACTCAATTTACACTGGATTCTCTAATTGTATCTGTGGCTTAGGCATTGAGCTGCTAACTCCAAGGACAGAAATTCAAACCCAACAGCCGCTTCACAGGAGAAAGATGAGTTTGTCTGCAGTCTTAAAGGTTTACAGTCTTGGAAGCCCGATACAGCGTTGTTATGAGTTGTAATCGACTTGATTACAGGAGGTTTCGTTTTGGCTTACTCATTGGAAATACCTGTGTTTTTCAACAATAACAAAGGTGATTATACCCAGACACCACCAGGTAGAATACACAGGAATCAAATCCACTACTCTGGTAGTTCAAAACTACCAGTCTTTCTGTTGGAGAAAGATGAAGCTTTCTCCTCCAGAAAAGATTTACAGCCTCAGAAACCCTATACGGGGTGGCTATGAGTCAGAACCAACCCTCAGTACATAACCACCAACAACCACATCTGTGCAAAGAGATGCTGGAGAGGCTCAATATCATCAGTCAGAAGAAGGCCTCAGGCTGACTGCTGAACAGATTGTCAATTGCTCCAATGCAAGTTCAAGTTGAAGCTGAAGAAAATGAAAACAAGTCCACAGGAGTCATCTCATGAATATATATCCCACCTGAATTTAAAGACTTTCTCAAGACTAGGTTTGATGCACTGAACACTAGTAACTGAAGACCAGATAATTGTGGGATAACATTAAGTACATCATCATGAAGAAAGCAAAAAGTCATTAAAAAGTCAGGAAAGAAAGAGAAGACCATACTGGATCTTAGAAGAGACTCAGACTTGCTCTGGAATTTCTCTAAAGAAGCTAAAGTGAATGGACAAAATGAAGTTGTTTTTTTAAAAAGTTGAGTAGAAGATTTCCAAGGGAAGCTTGGGAACACAAAGTAAAGTATTATAATGAAACATGCAAAGATCTGGAGTTAGAAAACCAAGAGGAGAATACACTTAGCATTTTTCATACTGAAAGAACTGAAAAAAAATTCTAGCCTTAACTTGCAGTGTTGAAGAATTCTATGGGCAAATTTGTAAATGACACAGGAAGCATTAAAGAAGATGTAGAGAATGTACTCAGTCACAGTACCGAGAAAATTGGTTAACGTTTAACCATTTCAGGCAGGTAGCATATGATCAAGAAATGATGGTATTGAGGGAAGAATTCCAAGTTACACTGAAGGCACTGTTGAAAACAAGGCTCCAGGGATTGATGAAATATCAATTGAGATGTTTCAACCAACTGGCACAATGCTAAAAGTGCTATTGCATCTGTGCCATGAAATTCAGAAGACAGTTACCTGGCCAGTCAAATAGAAAAGATCCATTTGTGTGTCCGTTCCAAAGACAGATGTCCATTCTGTCCATCTGACAGAATGTAGAATCACATTGGAATGAGGACTGTCATTGATGATGTCATATGTGTCTGGGCTGAAAGCAGAGAATAACAGAAAGATGTTTGCCTGTGTTCTGTTGACTATGCAAAGGTATTTGACTGTATGGATCATGACAAACTATGGATAACATTGAAATGAATAGATATTCCAAAACACTT